TGTGTTCTCCAGAAGCCTGCCCTCAGTGTGTGCTTGAGGAGGGGCGCCTGACGCTAGCACTAGTGAGTTAGCAATCGCACAGACCTCATGCGCTCGTACTTGGTGTCTCTGCAAGCTCTGTGTCGAGGAAGTTAAAGTATTATAGACCTCTAATACAGTCGCAGTAATCCACCTGGTGATGGAAGTTGGGGGAGGCCGGCCTATCCTGCCTGCCTGGGCCATAACACAAAGACATGTGCCTGGCATCCCGTCCTGAATCCTTAGTACGGTTTGGTAGCAACTCTGTGCTCGGACCGGGCAGAGAAGCGATTCCCCCAGACCCTCCGGGCCGACAAAATTTGACAGCCGGGGGATGATGATCGGGTGAGGATCGTGTCCTGGGATTTGGTTCTTGGCAAGAAACCGATTTGTGTCTTTAGCACAACTTGATTGTCCATAACGGCAGTACATCGTTCGAGAAGGACAATGCCCCCTACTCTGGCCGACACCTACCTGAGGTGAGGGCCAGTAGGAAGACTATTTTCCACATCAAAAATTTGAGTGGTGCTGATCGAAGAGGCTCAAAGGGCGGTCTGCTTACAGCAGACAACACAAGCGACAAATCCCAGTTCGGCGGTTCTCTTGTACAGGGTCTCGTCGTCTAGAAAGCAGTAAATAATTTCCTAATAATAGGACAATCGGCTAGTCTTGTTTCTGAAACGTTCTCAATGGTGGGGGACAAAGCTGACCTGTAGCCAACGGTCACTGCGTAGGACAAACCCACTTCGTCAAAGAGGTGGACGAAGGAGTCTGCCACCTGGCCAATAGAGGTATGGTATGGATCAATCTCCCTTCTGCTACACCAATCAGTGTATGCTCACAACCTAGAAATGTAGGCAGCGTTGGTGGAATCCTTGTTTGCCCTGGCTCAGATAAACCTTTCGTATGTGCGGGTCTACTGAGAGCCCCTATGCGTGCAAGTGATACCCGCTGGGCTCGTTGGTAGTGCACCGTCCGGGTGGGACAGCAGGTCCAATAAGTCCAGAAGCACTACTGGTGTTTCAACTAGCATTTCTGACAGAAGTGGAAACTAGGCCTTGGTTGGCCAATTGGGTGCGACCAATGACAATATGCAGGTGTGCACCTGTCGAAGTTTCCTCCAGTGCCCGGTGAACGAGGGAGGGAAGGCAGGCGTACACAACTAAGTGGGTCCAGTGGTTTAGCAAAGCGACCCTGGTGCAGGCTCCTGGAGTTGGCAGGAGTGTTATGTACGTCGAGAGCTTGGCGTTCCAGGGTGCGGCAAACCTGTCTATCTTTGGACAGTCCCACAGCAGGAAACAGCCTGGAGGCTACCCACTGGGGTATCAGCCACTCAGTGGTCTGGAGACGGAGCCGCCCTGAAAGGGTGTCTGCCAGACTGTTCATCACCCCTGGAAGGTGTGGTGTGCGTTTAGCTCCACATTGTATTCCAGGCACCAAAAGAGAATTTGCTCCGCTATAACTGACAACGTCCCCCCTCCTTCTTGAAGGAGACCACCGCTGTGTTGCCTGAGCGGAGCAGGACTCGAGCTACGGTAGAAATCATGGTAGTGCTAAGTACACTGCTTTCAGTTCGAGCCGGTT